GGACTTTGCCTTATTTCATGTGCAGTGATACAATGGCAAGAGTGAATCCGATGAACTGATGGTCCATGTTCTCACTGCAGTTCTCATTGACTCCAGTACAAATCATCTGATGCCAGCATAAGGAGAATTAGACCCAGGAAAATCAGACTTCTCTAAGACTGGTGTAATAAACCTGAGGGTCAGGACATTTATAGACCTTTTCTAAGGACAATATTTTAAAATGTCATTATATGAGTGAGATTTAGATCTCTGTTCTATGGAAATTGCTATGTATTATTATCATTGTAACATAGTTCCTGCAAATAGTTTTTGATTTTTATTGTGGTGACTGGGATCTAGCATTCTGACACGTTAAACACGGGATGGGTTGTTATGAAATAAAGTTACTAGGAAGTACTTTAAGGTTTTTTACGGATTTCTCTGCATTGTGTCTAGGACTCTGCTTTGGACAGAGAGAACCAAGAGTAGCTTACGTCTACACAGGCAATTATGCAAAGCATGCATTGACACACACTAGCTTACCATATATGATCTTCCCATGTTGATGATCTTTGAGATATAAGGAACGTGAGTCCTTATATTAACTTTGCAAAGTGAATGCTACCTAGAAGTGATGCCAATGTCAAATCCAGGGGAGTAGGGAAAATTGTTCTTAAAAAACATCACAAATATAATGACACCTAAGCATGTTCCATGCAGGTCTCAAAAATTTCTTTTGGCTCTCAAGGCAAAAGGTGCATAGCATAAAAGGATTCAGGTACACGTTTGCTGGGATCATATCTGTGCTTGAGGCGAGGAAGATGCACAACAGACTGGTTCTCTCTCTGGAAGAGTGCCAGGAGGAGGGGGAGGGTAAGAAAAGCACACTGGCTTTTAGTTCATACAGCTAGAATCACTCAGGGTTGCTTTGCAAGGACCTTGAATACCGTCAGTGTTTCCTTTCATTGGAAAACAACCTGCGGAGAGCTCTGGGCTATGTCAGGGTTGCCAAAATAGGAACCTTCTCTGTCACCTCCAGCCCAGGGGAAAGACTGTGCTGCTGAGCTGTGAGGCTTTCTCCCAGGTTTCTGTTTTGAGGCAGTTATTTGTGTGGTGTCCAGGATCAGGAGATTGTCGAGGAGCATAAAGTGGTAGAAGACTCAAGGCTCTGTCTCCAGTCTGGCGGTGTTGGTGCTGCACCAGCTACTTCCAGTCACAGGTCCCTGGCATTGTCCCCGCTGCCTGCGCTGCTGGCCTCCTCTGCTGGGGAGCTGCTTCCCCTCTGCCCCTTCAGATTTCCTTCTCCAAGCTGAAATAAAACAACAATAAAACCGCTGTATCTCTGTAGTGGCCTTCAAACACGTTTCTGTATTTTAGCAATGCTGTTGTGGGCAGCATTAGACATACTGCGCTGTCAGGTGAGCAGAGGTATGGAGAATCACAGAATCTTCATGGTTGGAAGGGACCTCTGAGATCACCAAGTCCAACCATACACACACACACACACACACACACAAAACCCCCCACCAATCTCAGGTACTAGAGCATGCCCTGAAGAGCCACATCTACACATTTCTTAACTCCCCCCAGGGATGGTGACTCCACCACCTCCCTGGGCAGGCCGTTCCAGTGCCTGACCACCCTCTCAGCAAAGTCATTCTTCCTAAGATCTCATCTAAACCTCCCCTGCCCCAACTTCAGACCATTTCCTCTGCTCCTGGCATTGTTCTCTTGGGAGAAGAGGCCAACCCCCACCTCTCGACACCCTCCTTTCAGGGAGTTGTAGAGGGCAAGGAGGCCTCCCCTCAGCCTCCTCTTCTCCAAACTCAACATGCCCAACTCCCTCAGCCTCTCCTCGTGTGACTTGTTCTCCAGACCCCTCCCCAGCTTGGTGGCTCTCCTCTGGACACGCTCCAGCCCCTCAATGTCCTTCTTGTAGTGAGGGGCCCAGAACTGACTACAGCCCTCGAGGTGAGGCCTCACCAGTGCCCAGGACAGAGGCACCATCACTGCCCTGCTCCTGCTGGCCACGAGAAGTAACAGTAAACACATGACAAGGCTAAAGGAGTTATAGCTATAAAAAATGCTGGTGAGCTAATTCATTATTAACTAGCTTGTCTCCACCAGTGTCTATAAAGCTGAGATTTACTCCATTGTAAGTTTGTCCTAGCAGTTGCCATTATAACTCATATCCTGATTCAAATTCACAGTAGAAGAAAAACACTGATAACAGAACTGGAACGTATATCTTTGTCTTTCAGCAGCTGTCTTGTCTCCTACGGAACATTTGCTGATGCCTACAATGAACTGTCTTCAGTTAGCCCTTTGAAATACTTGCCAGGTATCATGAAATTCCTGCAAATGTTTCTGCTCCAAGATCAGTCTTTCTTTCAAGTCTGCCACACTACCTCTTTCCTGCTGGTTGAAATTTTTCCCATAGTGCATTGGTTGTGGGGTATATTTTTATTTTTTTCCTTGGATAAATTTAAAAAGGCTACGCCCATGGGCAAAGCTTCCACTAAGCATAAAGGAAAATGGATGTGATCAGCAGTGTAACTCCTCAGCGTCTTCCCATAGCACTTTTGAAATATGTCCCTGTAGGACATGGAACTTAACTTTTTCTTGGACTCATTGGTTTTATCTCTCTTTTAAACTGAAAACTGTTTATATATTTAATAATATTTTTTTTTCAGATTCTCATGAATTTTATATTTTTTCAATGAAAAAGAAACAAACAAATGCAGAGATTCTGTTTGTTTTTCAAACCAGACTGGGAAGTCTAGAAAGAAAGTACATATCAGCAAAAAGCTGCGATGAAAAACATTCCTAAGGGCAGATGTTTTGAATAACTGGCACACTGCATGTGTAAAACTAAACCGGATTCTTTCGGTGTATGTGACTGGGTAGTAAATAATGCAGGCACCTCCTCTTGTTCTGTTCAAAAGAGCGCTCCCTGAAACAAGGGGAATGATTGTTATTCTGAGTTTATTTCAGCTCACACCAATATTGCATGTTTTAAAAATAAGTCTGTTCTTTCATTTGGAGCTAAGTCAGAGGGTGTTCTGCTTACGGAAATAATTAGGTATTTGTTTGACAGTGTTGTATGGAAGCCTTTTTTCCCTCAAACATTGCACATCTACACTTAGTATCCCGAAAAAGGAACTCGCCTAGCCAATAATTCCCGTGTTCCAGCAACAAAAGTTTGGAGATGGGAGTATTCTTTGATGGCATTGCATACCTTAATTGCTGAAAAAAAGGATTTGAAGCTCCCATGCACAGTATATCAATATAGAATTTTTTTTAATTATTACTTGAAAGCTTTGTAACTGAGCTAGAGAAAACTGGCCTAAGTATACTGTAAGTCTTTGGAAGACATGTTGCAGGGAGGGAAAGAATGGGTTAATATCTGTGAGATTGCAGGGAACAACTTCCACGCCAGACAGAAATAGAATTGCTGCTCTTAACAATTTAGTTAGTCTGTCCTTTTGGACAGACCTTTGTGTAATGAAGCCAATAACATGCGAAGGGCATGAAGAAATTGGATTTTTTTCCACATCCTTGTTTTTGTTGTGTGTAAGGGAGTGCTAAGACACAGATATACATTGAATGCAGTTGTTACACGGTATTTAAGATGAGCGCAAGAAATGAGGTGGAGGCTTCTCTGTTCTGTGCACCCTCAGCTTTGTGTTGTGTTTCTCACTACAAATGCCAGGATATTACAGTTGTCACCCTATGTAGCTTACGAAGGAAGAACCCAATTGCTGAGTGTGACAAAATGTACTATGGGGCACAGCCAAACCTCTGAGCACTCTGCCCACCATCACTGTTAGTCTTTTATGCCCAGAGCATGGATGGTGTGCTCTCCAGATGTGCTTGCATCTGGGTTGGTTGTTTTTTTTCCAAGCAAGATATAAAACAAAATCTATTGCTAGCTGCTTTGTTCTGCTTGAGCAACTGAGGAGAGATTGTGCATGAAAGTAGGACTGAGTGAATGTGCTCTAAAAGTGCTGGAATGGGATAGCTCCTTCTTCCTACTCAGGTCCATCATTTTCCTGGTATGCTGCTCAAGATTTTCAGAGAGCAAGGAGCCCACATCATCCTATCAAGTACCCCTGAGGTTTTAGTACTTTCTCTGAAAATCACTAAAAGAAATAGGAATCCTCCATTAACCATTATGGTTTGGTTCAGGTTCAAAAGCATGGAGTCTTTTGAAGAAGACTTTTGAAGAAGAGAGATCTGGAGTTTGTCTCAACTTGTATAACCTTTAGCAAGTCACTCGTGTTAGAGCCTTGTGGCTCTAGGTGATTGTGGAGTTCTGGAGAACTGCACCCAAGGCAAGCATGCTCTGCTCACACACCTAGGAGGGTGCATGATGTGCTGCCTTCTGCACCTGGTCATCTGCCTTGGTTGGTGTGGAATAATGGGAGCTTTCATTCCAGCACCTTTCTGCTTCCTTTGGAGAAGTTACTTCTTGCAAAGAACTCACCTTGTGTAACTTTGGATTTTTCATTAAAATATAATATGATAATTATCCTGCAGCTGACTCCGAAGAGAAAACCTCTGACTGGGTCATGGAGAGGCATGATGTGCCTTAGAGGGAAGGACCACAATACTAGCCTAGGGTGGCATCATTTGAATATTGTACTCCTATAGTATTTTACGTCACCAGCTGCTCCAAGTCCCAAGCAGTTTTCATTACAGCCTTCAGTTCTGGTTGTTGTGATTCCCAGTTTCTTTTCCTGTCTGTAGCCTTTTTATTGGCTGTGGAAAAGGGCTCCTGAGGCATCTGCTCCAGGGGGAATACGTCCAGTGATAGCTGAGTGACCTTTAAGGTAGTTTGGGTCAGGCTACGTAATCACACAGGCTTTTTCTTTAAAACCTTTAGCATTATCGTCTCAGAGAAGCCCATGAGATGATGACACCGTTTCCAGTGTACGTTTCCCAGCACTAGGAAGCTGCACGTCCCCACAGCCCCAGCACTGGAGCCCCCACGGCTGAGCTCAGCCTCTAATCTTTGAGCATAAGGAAGATCTTCCAAGGTAGTGTCTTGCTCCTTTGAAACCTGAGGTGAAAGTGTGTTATGAGCATGAGCATGAATGTATAAAGTACATCACAGAGCAAAGGCGTCCTTGTAAAAAACATCCATGTTGTCCTGTCTTTGTCCTCTGAATGAACCCGTGGAAGTCTGTGAGAGCAAAGTATGACAGTCTTGGGGCTCACCAGGTCTGGACTAGGGCAGACTCAGACTGACAATAGTTCTCCATCAGCTCAGAGGTTTCACAGGCCCTAGCAGATTCTTTTGAAACAGTTGTTTTCCCCCTCCATGTTTGTTTTTTCCTGTTGTTTGCTTTGAGATGTGAATCTGGGTTGTATCTGTATGTCCCTCTGTAACCAGTTGAGAGAGAAATCTGCAAAAACCCAGTAGCTAAGCAGGGAGAGTGACCACAGCACGTTGTGTGCTGTCTGCTAACCTTTATCCTGGGTGCCGGTCACAGATGCAGCTCCTGAAACTTTACTAAAACAGGATCTTGGCCAAAGCTACTCCATCAGAGAGAACATTTTGTTCGCTCCAGCACTTCTAATTGCACAATATCACAAGCTGTGTGCCTCTCAAAGATTTGAGGTTTGAGTGTACTCATGGCAAAGTTTGCTTTTGAGGAGGATTTTTTTCCTTGTATATTAAAATAAAGTAAGAGAAAGTGTCCTTCTTACGAAGAGGTCCTGTCCTTATCTTTAGAAGTTAATGGCTCCCATTCAGATTTCCCTCTTTCTGTTTCCCTTGCGTACACCCCCTTTACGTCAGAATGCAAAGTGTGAAACCAGAATTAAGACTTCCACATGCATTTACAGAGAACAAGGATGCCATTCACTCAAGCTGTTTGCTTTCTTGCTTTCTTCTTTATTAATCTCTCATTTTGAATCTTTATCCCACATCTTATACTTCTCTTTGGTTGCGGGTTGGTTGGCCTAGGTATAGCAAATTAGGCTGTGAAAAACAGCCCCTCTGCCCCTCCTTTTTGTGATCAGTTGCAGTTAAAAAAAAATAATAAAAAATTCAAGCTGTAGGGAGATTAAGGTTGAAAATCTCTAGCAAGGAGCAGAAATAATTAAATACACGTGCACTGTGAGACAGCCCTTCTTCTAAAGCTTCCAGGCAGAGCAGGACCAAACCAGGCTCCATCTTCCCCAGAGCCGAAAGGGTGCCGGGCACCTCGCTCCTCCTGCACACCCCCCCTCCTGCACTGACACTGCTCAGGTAATGGCTCTCACCAGGCATTACTCATGGTTTCAGGATTAAGTCCTGGTAAGAAGGTTAATTTTAAAAGTCCCATCGTGCTTGCCTCTTGGTGAATGGCAAGGGGAAGGAAGCACGGGTGAGCCGCCGCGCTCTCGCGTGGCACCATCGCGTCTCGTAGCCCCTGCCAGGAGAGACAGGAGGGCAGACACCCGCTGCAGAGAACAGACTTTGCATCTCTCCAGGGCAATGCAGTTGCAAGGTTTCTGTAACACCTTTCTCACCACTGCCGGGCCCTACATCCTCTTCCAGCGAAGGATTTTAGGAACAAGCTCTCCTACCCTGGTAGCACCTCATGCAGGACTCACATGCAAAGGATGAACATTTGCTTGTTGAAAATGTAATTCTCCTTCCTTCGCATGCCTGTGATGCAAGTTTCCTTCATAGCCCGGGCTGGAGGCTGTGTGTCGCTGTGGAATGCCTGCTGAGGCCGTGGGCGAGCGGGAGGCGGGGAGCCGGCTGATGTTCTGCCCAAGTTCCACTTTAGGCTTCATGTTAAGCTCTATTTTCCACAGTTCCATTCATACCACATTGAGAAGAAGGCATTTCATGTGTGAATATTTCTGTTGTAAAGGTTCCTCTCTGGAAGGTTTTTTCCCTTCTACCTTGAAGGGAAGCAAGAGAAGGATTTCATACGTGAGAGAGCCAGACCTGCAGCCGGTGGGTTGGGCTGCTGGGCACACGGAGACAGACAAAACTAAACAGTGAAGAGAAATACTGAGCTCTGGTTTTTTGAAATTCTGATTGTTTACATTCAACACAATTTTCCGTGTGAATTTCAAATTGCTGGATTTACATCAGAAAAAGCACAGAAAATTTCTTAGTATATATTTCATTTTTAAAGCCTAATTGCTGCTGGGACTTTTGCTTTATTTTTAAGTTCGTAACTAGTCTATGGGTTAAATCTACTAAATAACATAGAATGGATGCAGCACTTTAACATAACCACTTTGGGATTTAGGAATTCCAGTATTAATCGTGACCAATAGTGACAGGAATGCTTAAGGCTACTAATTTTTTTTCACTCTAATCTTATTTTTAATTGCTTTTAGATTTTTCTTTTAGGGGAAGAAAAATCCTAGATTTTATGTGCAACTGTGTATACGGTTGCACATAATATAAATAATATAGACTTTTTTTTTTTTGCAAGAATGAGCAAAATCAGCAGCTGTCATTTTTTTTTGCTTCAGTATGAAGATCCACTGCACTTTGATCTTCATCATCATTCGTGTGACCCCTAGTCAGGAATCTGAAGAGTAGAAATTGTAAATTTACTGCGGATATCCACTGAAGAGTGGTGTTACGAGCATGTCTCCTGGCAAGAAGTGATGACATGTTTGTTTTTATTCTGCATGTTTGCATTTAGTAGACCTCCGGGATTTTGCTTGCTTATATTTTATGCAAAGAGTGCATCAAGGGCACGTATATATTGCTTTATTTGTGTTGGACAACTGATGTGGTTATGATTCAAAGAGAAAAGCATAACGTTGCATCAATAGTGTAAGTCACAACTAAACTAAAACAGGGTTTCCAGAATTCTAGGATGTTTCATTTCTTTTATCATAGAGATATGGCTCAGGGATTAAGAAAATCGGGGTAATTTTGTGAATCTCATTTTATGGCAGATGTTAAAACTGCCTGAGAGTCTGCATGAGGAAGGAATGTGTAGACAGAGATCTTGAGGCATGCTTTCTTTTCCTCCTATGGAAATCTAATCACTGCAAACTAAACTTGGATCAAAACTACCTTGGCTGAATTATCAGACTGTTGCGATGTGGTATGCTGTTGCTTGCCATAGAAGTTGTAATTTGGAGACACAGATGCTTTCCCATTCTCCTTAATAGGCTAGGCTAAAGGTCGTATTATGTCTTGTGACGGGAAGAGTGAATCATGTTAATGTCCCTTACACAGATGAAAATGTACGGACCCGAAGTAACTACAGACCTTCTTTTTAGCATATCTGAACTGAAATATTTTGCTCTGGGAATATGTTAAGAACTTTCTCTCGCTGGATTTTTCTCAAGCCCCGACTTACGAATAAATAGGTACTCAGTTGAGAGACGTGGTAAAGTCCCATCTAATAAATTCCTTTGCACTGGGGAAAGAGGTTATTGCTGAGCTTTATGTACTCCTAATTTTGGTCACGCATAGAGCTGGGTCTGTCCTTCCCATACAGGTCTACGCAACCAAGAGAAGGGAATCACCTCTTCCTCTGTAGAAATGTCAGGAAAAAAAACCCCACAAGCCAACAATGAAAAAACCCAAGACAATTCATTAGCGGGCTGAGACCTTAAAAAAAGTTCCTATAAACCGCATGTCTCTGTAAGTGTGTGAGAGGTGGCAGCTCAGAAAAGAAATGAAACATAAGGAGATTAAAGGGGCAGGCAAGTGAGAGACAAAAAAGAGATGTACTGACCTTGGTTAACTTGGAAAAGCTAATTAATAAAGAGGAAAAACATGGTTCAGAACTCAGCATGAAGGTGAGCTTTCTTTTATGTGATGCTTCTTAACAGTCTGGCACAATATTTTACAGCATATTAGTCTGAAGAGCTATTATTTCTAGTAGAAGTAGACTGTAGGTCTAGACTGTAACATGCCAGTCCACTACAGAGTTACACTTCATAGAAAATCTGTGAATAACTTTGTTCTTAGGTTCCTTTTTAAGCAGGAAAACTTCTAATTGGGAAGTGTGGAGGGTCAGCCTTTTATATTCCAAGGCAAGGGCAAAAGGAATTGAAATGTGATTTTTGACATACACAATAATGAAGTAAGGGACTTCCCCTTTTAATTAGAGGGTGTCCATCTTACAAAATCTTAATGACAGTAACACTTCATTCTCTTAAATATAGAACTGGAAACCAGAAGAGATAAAAACCAAGTAGACATTACCAGAGACACTGAAATGGGTGGCAGAGGACTGGTTTTACAGAGAGGGTGAGGCTGTGTCACAAGGTAGTCATTGCCATCAATTTGCTGCTGTAGAATAATTTTCAGGCTTTGGGGCAGTGGCCCAGGCATAGGGAGGGCTAATAGAAAGTGTGGGTGGGATAGCTGATATGTAGAAGAACAAGTGATCATGAACTATTTTCTGTTGGCTATATGCAGTCTAAAGTATAGGGTTTGAGTCCAGAAAATATTAGAAGCACTTTGTTTAAGATGAACTGCAGTGGCTTTTTGTTTATACATTTATCTTGTGTCTAGATGAAGAACTTTGATTTTCAGTGCCTTTCCTCTTCAAATGACATAAAATGCAGTGTAAACAACTTGTAATAAGACTTAACAGTCCTCTAGGGAAACTGACCAGGGAACAAGAGTTCAGACCCCAGGGCACGTTGGAGTTGGCCTTTGGAAAACTATGAAATATGTTGGGTTACTGTTGAAGACAAGTGTCTTCAACACTTAACATCTTTCTACACAAACCTCAGCTTCTGCCATTTAACAGTTGTTCTTATTTTTACTGTTGATAAATTTGATTCACTAGTAGTCTCTTGCTATATCAGTGTACTACAAGTAATTGAATTAGACACACTGGCCATTTACAAATTAAACAGAAGGGGTCTCTCTATAGTCAGCTTTCCTTTTCCAGCTAGGACAGATGCTTCCTTTTGTGTAAGAAATCCTCTGTTCCTGGTAGCATTTAAGAATCCTTTGTGCTTGCAATGAAGAGCCTTCTGGCTCATTACAAGATTACACGTAGCCATATCACCCATAACAGAGAGGAAAGAAAGGATTTGGGAAATGACT